GTTTGTATGTATATATATATATAGATACATATATATATACATATATATATATATGTGTGTGAGTGTAAGTGTATGTATGTATGTATGTATGTATACTTTATTTTTGACAATCCACACCGCCGACTTGAATGTATGACATTCTCCATCAGTACCAGTGTACCATATAACGGCTCATGAGCTCGTTGGTAAATTGCATCACATGGTGTATTTGAGGTATCTACACCGGATCGACAGGAAAGTGTTCACTGAATATTGTACACCTCTCTCTACCTGATGCCTGCCATAGCAACGCACATGAGACGTTTTCAACCGTTTACTGATCCGAATTGTGAACGTTGTAACAGGGACATGAAGTCTGCACAGTGGCGCAGAGTGGGCAATGGGTACGAACTACGAGTTGTCACTACCACCGGATTTCACAACTTTGACGGGTTTAAAGAGAACGTAAGTTTGCACCAGATACTCAGCTCAGTGTGGGTTTAAAGAGAACGTAAGTTTGTGCCAGATACTCCGTGGAGATCACTTCACACACACGCAGTCTTGTCCTTACGATAGGTTTACAAAGTGGCGCATAGATATGTGGGCTGCACACAGCTTGACTGGCAGCTTTCGCACGCGGGGTGGTTATGAGTGTGTTCTGTGCTTTGTGTTGAGGTGTGCCTGTGGTTGTGTGTCATAGGTTTACTTTTGCATGGTTGCGAATAGCTTCCTTAAGCTCTTGAATTACAGAATTGAGCACGTCATGCCAAATCGTATTTGGTCGTCATCAATCCTTTATATATATATATATATATATATATATACATCAATCCTTTATATATATATATATATATTTATTGTATATGTATATATTTATATATATATATGTGTGTGTGTGTGTGTGTGTTGTATAAATGTCTATGTGTTTATCTATTTTTCTGTTTTCTGTATGAATGCGGAGAATTTCCGTTTTCAGGCCATCAACGTATTACTCATCTGTGTACATCTTCCGTACCCACAGGATCTGGCAGAGTTAAGGACTCACTTCTCTAGGCATTTCAATCTGAAGATCGAAGAGGTTGCCACAGCCACAAAGGGATTCAATTGGGGAGATGTTAAAATGAAAGGTGTTGGAGTTTCGCTCAGTGAAGAAGACTTATATACTAAGTCTAGTGCGTGATTAAATTTTCTACCGTTTGGTGAGGAGTTTTTTTTTGTGTGTTAAAGAAGGGTACATCGTGTGCAAGTTCAGGTTAAAAGTGCGGCGGACACAGTGTTACTACCCGAAACGATTTTTCGTGTACATAAATGAAACAAACAGAATTATCAAGGAGTTTGCATACATGCACTCCAGAGGAAGTCATACCCCAATCGCTTTTAGCGAGTGTGTAAACTTCTTATCGCATGTTCGTGTTTACGATTCCAGCCGTCGTCGAAGTGATATTCAACCTATACAGCGAAGATGGGCCTATAAAATATGTAAATTACGTAGATGATAGTACTCTTTAATTCCATTTTTACCACCCTCTTCCCATTGAATATGTACAGTTATCGTCTATTCACCTGTTTTACATGGGCTATACCACACAGTGTCTTAAATATATACATTGTATTACGATCCCATCGATGATCAAGCATATACTGAACATGTACTAAATAGATCGGGAACTATTGTTTTTTCGAAACAAGTAAATAAATATATATATATATATAGAAAATAATATGGTATAAATATATACTACACAGATCCAGGACTATGGCATTGTGGGTTATCGTATAAATTTATACTGCATGATTCCAGCACGTATGTTTCTCTAAAAAATCCCCTATGTATATATACCTGCATTTCCTGCATATATTTAGTACACTAAGTACGCCAAAAGTCAAAGGTGAATCGTAGTTCGCTATGTAGTTTAGCATTTGTTCTGATCGTTTTAGCCTTGCCTGAATCTGGTACACCCACCGTCCATTGGTTTGTAATTATGTGTGTTAAGTTTACGAAACCATCCAAAAAACCTCGAGTTATGTGTGTGAAGTTTACAAAGCCATCCAAAAAAACCTCGGTCAAGTTAAGCACATAGCCCCGAACCAATTGATGTATTGTAACCTCTCGTAAAGCTTTTGTCACGACCACTAATCGCTGCTGTCGGCTTCTTGATGATCTACCTGTTTTGCCTTCTGCGATATTTTGTATGCATCCCAATCAACACCTGTTTGCCTACGTATGCACATGTGTACGTATTTGTTTGACGCGCTCTCCTCTCTAAAAATCTCACGGTTGCCTTTTGTCTGTACTTTGTCCCTGAAGGTAACTTTGTGACCTTTGAGGTGGACGATAAGAGCTGCTTCGAAGTACCCGCTTCCTCTATACAAAATGTGCAACTCGACCGTATGAAGAAGCAGGAATTGGTTATCGAGTTCAAGGGCGCCGATGCCAAGGTAAGTCTATCTGCAGAGGCTTCTTCACCCAGCACATGTCACATATACGTGATTTTATATATATATATATAAATATATAATACATATATATATTTATATATATATATATATATATATATATATATGGTGTGTTATTGTGTATATATTATTCTATCTGTGGAGTGTATTACTCCTAGTCGTCCGTACCAATGACTGTCGGTGGTTGGTACGTAAAATTAAATTAGTTTAACTATTATTAGGGTAGTACCGTACGT